TTTGATTAGGGTTGGAGCTAACCTCTGAAGGAAAGTGGCCTGTGTTGTTTTTTTTGTGAGTGAGATGAATTAATGCATATTCATATTTATTTTAGAACTACAGTAACATCATCTGATTTTCTCTCAACATGGGGACAGGAGAGCTGTCAATCAATAACTTGCGTTACTTATTTGAAAAAGTAACTCAGATATTCTCTTGTAAATTAAAAAGTAATGCGTTACTTTACTAGTTACTTGGAAAAAAGTAATCTGATTACGTAACTCGCGTTACTTGTAATGCGTTACTACCCCCAACACTGATGCTAAGCAATGCTGTTTTTTTTCAGCAGGGTAATAGATTGTAGGTATCATCTTACACATAAATAGGCTGTTATTATGGAAAAGAGCAATCATTTTTCAGAGTTAATTATTTCTCTGAATGTGACTGACATTGTGTAAACAGGGTATGTGGCCAGTTCTCCACTTCAAATGAAATCTGAACATAAACAATATCAAATAAAGCTCCCGCATGTCAGCGTTAATTACATGTCAAAATACAGAAAAAGACACTGCAAATTTTTCCTAGAGGTTCCATGCCTTTTCCATGACAGACATGATTTCACTTGTGTCATCTACATTATAATGAATTTTCAAGAACATAATTAACTGAAATAGATTAACTTAAAGAGCCAGTCAACCCAAAAAGCATGCATAAACACTTTTACCGACAAATAAACAGTCCCATCATATTGTAATGTTTTTTAATACAGTGTGACATTTTGTTATGTGATCAGTTTTCACATTTAAGACCAGAAGTCTGGCAGACTTTCACCTCTGCTGCATTTATAACCATCAGAGGAGCAGAATCGAGGTATGAGTGATGTTAACATGGAATCTTTTCTCCCAAAATAGTCATTTCATGATTTGAGAGAGAAGAGAGGCCCGTGGAGAGCGAGACAGAGAGTTTTCCCTTCCCCCAGCTATAGACGCGGAGAGAGGCGGGTGGAGGGCGAGGAAGGGTTGTTTTGTCTGAAACACAGGAAAGGGGCGGGGCCAAGCTTAAGCCTGTCTGTCTCGCAGTCTGTGTATGTGGGAGAGAGACGTCAGTATTTGAAGCATGAGTGCAATGTGTTCAAGTAGGACATTTATGCAACAAGTTGTAAATGCATGTGTGCATCAGTATGGATTTGAGCTGAACTCTCTGTTTCATGTCAAGCACAGCTATTAGGGTTTGTTAGTGGAGAAATGCGATGTTTATGAGAATGAGAGAGTTCTGAGAGTTTAATATGGTGCTCTGTCTGTATGTGAGTTTGTAAAACGTAATGGGTTTGGCAGTGGACCAGCTCTGTCTCTGTCTGTGCACCGACTGCCTCCGCTTTGACTCGCTCAGGAAGGTCAGTCTCCTGGGTGGAGAATTGTAAGTCATTCCAATAGCAAATGAGGTCACAGTGTGTTGCCACTCACACATGATTTAGAGAAGATGGTCTGACACCAGAGTCAAATGTTTCTCTGTACTTTTTATCTTCTGTGTTCCTTTCTGATAGAGCATCCCTGACTTCAGACCTGTCCATCCATCCAAAAGTTTGACCATTCTTAACTTTTTGTCTAGTTAATATTTAATATGAATGCATTGTGAAGTAGTAACAAAAGCTCTTTAAATTCTTAGAATCAAAATTTAGATCTATAGCTTGCCTTGTTTAGATACGGCAAAAATGACCTAAAATGATCTTATCTGATGTTATCTAAATATATAATACAATATAATTATGGTGTAAACTTATCTCTAAAACATATTTTATTTAAAACTAAATATAACTGGAAAGAAATGTGTACAAATATAGGCCACCATGCAGAAGTTTGGGGGCAGTAAGATTTTAATTCAGTTAGAATGATGCATTAAATTGACCAAAAGTGACAGTAAAGAAAAGAAAAAATTTACATTTTTACATTTTTGAATTTTCTATACATCAAACAATCAGGAAAAAAATGTATCAGAGTTTCCACAAAAATATTAAGCAGCACAAATGTTTTCAATATTGGTGATATGTTTCTTGAGCACCAAATCAGCGTATTAGACTAATTTCTGAAGAAAGACTGGAGTAATGGCTGCTGACAATTCAGCTTTTCCATCACAGGAATAAATTACAATAACAAATTATTAAAGTACTGTAGAAAACAGTTATTGTAAATTGTAATAATATTTCTCAGTATTACTGTTTTTATTGAGTATAAGAGACTCGCCCCAAACTTTTAAACAGTAGAGGCATAAAGAACATTTTAGCTAATTCACTTGACATTCTCTGAATAAATCATGACATTAATACTAATTATTATTTTGAGCCCTAATTTTCACATTGGTTTTATACTTAAGGTCTATTAAACAGAGATGAGAGACCATGATTGTCACATTTTCCAGTTGTGTTTTACATCACATTACAGCATCAGTCTACGATTTCGTTTGGCAAAAATTGTAACTAGCTCATCTATTTCTAAGCCATTAGTTATGTCTTTCTCGTGAGCCAAAGTCATCAAATTCATTTTTTTCTCAGAGAATAGTTATTTGGAATGGTGTTAGGACTCGGGACAGGGTGGAGAATGAATATGATACAGAGGATAAGCGATTATCAGTGCATGCACTCCAGAAAATGCTCCGGTCAGTGCAGTAATAATAACACATAATAGATAAAAGGAGATCAAAATGATGAGCAAAAATTTCAACAGAATATAGAGAAGTCAGTAGGTAGAAAATCAGCAGGTCTTTTCTTTGCTGAGTGTTCATAACTCAATTGCATGTAACTTAAAACGAAAGAACATGCAAGCCTCAGATATAGTTGACAACCCCATGAAGCTGTGTAATTTTTTTGTTAATTTCTCTAATTAAGAATACATAATAATGTCACAACATAATAATGTTGTGATTACTCAGGTGGCTGGGCGGAAAGGTTTCCCTCATGTCATATACGCTCGTCTGTGGCGATGGCCGGACCTTCACAAGAATGAACTCAAGCATGTCAAGTTCTGTCAGTATGCATTCGATCTGAAGTACGATAACGTGTGTGTGAACCCCTACCACTATGAGCGCGTGGTGTCCCCTGGGATTGGTGCGTATGTTACTAAAAACACAAACTACGTATGAAACTAACTAAACATTTTTCATCACTTTTATCATTTTACAAGGAAATATTTTGATATATAATAGGCAATGAATATTTGACTCTATATTTTTTCTCTCTTCTCAGTTGGATTCAGTTTGCCAAACACAGGTGAGTGGAGCTCTGAGTAAATAGTGGAGGACATTAGCACATGTATTTCTTCTTCACATGTGAAAGAATGTCTCAACCATTCATCCGGGCTAATCGCTGATGGCCCTGATCGCTGCACTGCTGGCAGCCAGCCTTTAATCATACAGAGACTGCCATAAAATGTGTCAGATCAAGACATGCAAGGACTTGCCTTGCAGTGAAAAAGACAAACAGGGACAGGAGTTTGGAGAGGAGCTCAAAGATGTTTTGACACTCGTTCTCATCCCTCAGGCAGGCTGATAAAAGAAGAGCACATACATGACTGCATCCAGATGGAGGGTCCGTCGAGTATGACCTTACAGCTAGACCATCATCCTCCAGATCACTACAGCCCACAGCCGCTGAGACTGATGTCCCCAGAGCTGCCCCAGCGGACCACTTCCTCGGTCACTCTCTACCCCAGCCTGCCCCTCTCTCCACCCTGTAAGTACAGCAAAGCATGGAGTAAGGGGTTTTGTTGCAAAGGAGTTTTGGCAGTGTAATCATAAAAATGAATGTAGTAAATATGTTTCAATGCAGTTGAATGATTTGAACTAAAAACCATCTAATTGCATTATGGGGCATATATACTAAGCTTTTCTTTATTTAGTCTTTTTTATTACATTATTTAAATTATTTTTTATTTATTATATTGGATTGATTGATTAACTGATAATAAATGGGGTGTGCATAACAACATTTTTCAAAATCTACTAGTTGGTGTTTTACCTTAGCAATGGAAAAACAAACTTTAACTTGACATGCTGTCTTAAAAAAAAAAAATGTTTTTATTATAATGAGATAGTAAAACATTATCAGTCTCATTCTATCTCTAACCCTCTCTAAAGCAAGTGCATCCAGGTTGTCAATGCAGGTGGAACGTCCTGAGGGACTGTTGCCGATCGCATCCCCAGCGGGACGGGCCTTGACCTCCAGCTCTCCACCTTCCACCCCAACACACAGTCACGCACCCACACACAGCCAGACTTCTTCCCAGCAGCCCTCCGTCAGCCAGAGTGAATACAGCACCTCAAAGCACACACAGACACAGGGAACTTACCACAGTGAGTCCTTTTTATAAATCACATAGGGTCATGTATTGACTATTGACCTTGTTGAATTTTATCATCAAGATTTTACAAGTTGTATATGTTTGTAAGGCAGTTCATCTGTATGACATTATCAATGAAAGACCGATCTATGAAATCAGTATGAAGTCATATTAAATGTGTTTATTTTTAAACATCTCAGCAACAACCTGGACAGGGACCAGCACAGCCTCCTATACTCCTGCTGGACCACAGCAGAATGGGCGGAGTCATCAGCAAGCCCCTCCCCCTCACACTAGCCACTTCTGTATGTACATTTACATGTCACATCAACACGTTTTTGTAAAATGTAAATAATAATAATCGTAAAATAATTTAATAAACTCATGTAATAAATCAAATATATAAATGCATAAGATTTTATGAAAGAAAAAACTTATGTTCACAAAGACTGCATTTGTTTTATAAAAAAAAACAGTAAAACATTAATATAGTGAAATATTTACAATTTATAGTAATCATTTTCTATCTTGATATTTTTAGTCTATTTTAAAATGTAATTTATTCATGTGATGGCAAAGCTGAATTTGATTTCTTAAAGAAAAAAACTCTTTCTGACCCCAAATTTTGAACAGTGGTGTATATAAATAATATATAAATACATAATATGTATCAAAAATTTCATGAAAGTTTCATGAAATGTAATACAGTTTCATGAAATGTAATACATTTTGTAATTGTTACATAGATTTTTGTCATCATAATGATTATATACAATGATGACTCTCTATGTAATGATATAAATGCCTAGTTCTTTCATGAAACACTAAATGGCACAGACTGATGGGTACTTAAAGGGTTAATTAACCCAAAAATGAAAATTAGGCTGCGTTTTACTCACGCCCGTGGCATCCTAGGTGTATATGACTTTCTTCTTTCAGACGAATCCAGTCGGAGTTATATTTTAAAAAATGTCTTTGATCTTTCAAGCTGTTTAATGCCACTCAGCGGGTGTTGCATTGCTTCAGTCGAAAATAACTTAAATAAAAATCGCCCATCCATAAAAAATGTGCCTCACACGGCTCCGGGGGGTGAACAAAGGTCTTCTGTAGCGAGAAAAATAGTAAGAAAAATAGCCATATTCAAAACGTAATAATCACTTGAATCTAGCTTGCGCTCACTGTTGTAAACAGAAGCAGTTCCGGGGGAATGAGGAGGCCTTTGTTCACCCCCCGGAGCCGTGTGAGACACTTTTTTTATGGATAGGTGATTTTTATTTAAGTTCTTTTGGACTGAAGCAATGCAACACCCGCTGAGTGGCATTAAACAGCTTGAAAGATCAAAGACAATTTTTTATATAATTCCGACTGGATTCATCTGAAAGAAGAAAGTCATATACACCTAGGATGCCTCGGGGGTGAGTAAAACGCAGCCTAATTTTCATTTTTGGGTGAACTAACCCTTTAACGTAACTAACGTTAACATAACATATTTACAGCATTAAACGACTTGGCACAAGCTGATTGGTTCATGTTGCACATGCAGCCAATGAGCTTGCTGCTTTACATTTAAATGGCTGATTAGCATCCACTTGAGCACTTTGCAGCGCGTTTTCAAAATTCCTTTGAAACCCTCCACCTTCCCCAGCACAACCTGTATAGATCTGCTACAGGTTATTTTATATGCTATTTGTGCAGCAGCAGTATGTCTTAAATACTCACAGCACCATATCGCCGTATGTATTGGCAGTAGCAAGTTCCTGTACTTGCTTGCAGCAGCAGCAATAATCTACAACAACAGCAATAACCAAAAGCAGCAGCAGCAATCTAGCAGCAGCAGCGTAGCACATCTATTCCACCAAGACCAAATACATTAACATTGTCATTTCCATTACCATGCTAAAATCTTCAGAGAGTTGTCATTATAGAAATATAATTATATAATAGAAATCAATTTATACATCTCACTTTCATCTTTATCATCATTGTATAATTTTGTTAATGTTATTTTTATATTGTTATCAGGGTCTCAGCATCACACACCAGCCTCATACCCTCAACCAGTTTCTAACCATCCAGGTACAACACACACACACACACACACACACACACACATACTTGCATTTGTGGTTTACAGGGACTCCCCATAAGCGTAATGGCTTTTATACTGTACAAACTGTATTTTCTATCGCCCTACACCAACCCTACACCTAAACCTACCCCTTACAGAAAACTACTGCCAATTTTTGAATTTCATAAAACACCGTTTTGTATATTTTTTAAGCCTTTTGTTTTACGGGAACACAGGAAGTGTCCTAATAAACCATGTTTACGTTGTAGTACCCATGTCATTATACACATTTGTGTCCTCATAAACCATATATACCAGTACACACACACATTTACATAAACCACACTCTGTATTAAATTAGTGTGTCATTTGTTTGTGCACTGTAGGCCCAGAGTTCTGGTGCTCAATCTCTTATTTCGAGATGGATGTGCAGGTCGGGGAGATGTTTAAAGTTCTAGCCAACTGTCCTGTGGTGACAGTGGATGGATATGTGGACCCTTCAGGCGGGGACCGCTTTTGTTTGGGTCAGCTTAGCAATGTTCATCGAACTGATGCCAGCGAGAGGGCACGGTCAGTGTGCATTCAACATAATACTTATACACATTCATTCATCGCTGGAGATTCAAGCTTTTGAACACCTGACATCTGCCCAACAGGCTTCACATTGGTAAAGGTGTTCAACTGGAGTGCCGTGGGGAGGGGGACGTGTGGATGCGTTGCCTTAGTGACCATGCTGTATTCGTGCAAAGTTACTACCTGGACAGAGAGGCAGGGAGAGCGCCAGGGGATGCCGTTCACAAGATCTACCCAGGAGCCCTCATTAAGGTACACCTTTAATGACATCACTCTTTAGCACTGCTTTCTTCTTTGCAATTAAATCAGACGTCAAAACCAGGGGAACAACTTTGGGCCAGACAACTCTTTTTGAAATTGTTCCAGAAAGCAAGCATAATCAGTAAAGTTAAGCATAAAGTTGTAGACAAGGACTGAAATATCTGGATCAGTAAGTGTTTGTGAACTAAGAGCAGTTTGTTCCCCTTAGGTGTTTGATCTTCGTCAGTGTCACAGGCAGATGCAGCAGCAAGCGGCGACTGCGCAGGCAGCTGCGGCTGCACAGGCTGCAGCAGTGGCTGGGAACATCCCGGGGCCTGGCAGTGTTGGAGGAATCGCTCCAGCCATCAGTGAGTTGCTGGACCCAAAAACACTGATTTTCCAGTTAAATGTGATCACTATTTGAACAATCTTCTTAACTTTTCCTAAAGTTTTGTTTACTCTGTGGTGCCAGTCTTTCCTGAACTGCTTTTCATTAGCAGTGCACTGAATATAAATCCCCACAGCAAAACAAGTAATTTACCCAATTTTGTAGTCTGAATTGAACATGATGTGATCAAAAACATGTGTACAGCATAATAATGCCAATGCAGTTCATTTAGAGAATCAAAAATATACAGCATGACCAGTGTATTTTGATTCATGAACAAATTACTCTTATGAACTGGTACTTTTCAGTGAATCAAAAACATACAGTGCAACCAGAGTAGTTGGATTCATGAACAAATTATACTTATGAACTAGTTCTATTTAGTGAATCAAAAACTTACAATGCCAGTGTAGTTTGATTCATAAACAAATTACTTTTTATGGACTGGTTCTTTTTAGTGAATCAAAAACTTACAGCATGACCAGTGTAGTTACTTTTTATGAACTGGTTGTTTTTAGTGAATCAAAAACTTACAATGCCAGTGTAGTTTGATTCATAAACAAATTACTTTTTATGGACTGGTTCTTTTTAGTGAATCAAAAACTTACAGCATGACCAGTGTATTTCGATTCATGAACAAATTACTTTTATGAACTGGATCTTTTTAGTGAATCAAAAACATACAGTGTAGTCCTATTCACAAACTATTGACTCTTTTGAAGTAGTCCTTTTAACAAATGATTTAAAAGACTCATACTCATCTATTAATTAAATAGCAATTAAACTGCATAGTTTGGATTCTGTTGATAATTATCTAAATTAATATTTTTGTATTGTACCAAACTGTAAGGTTACAATTTATTATTGAGAAATAATTTTTATGTCAGCAAAATTAGCACTATAATGGAAATATTCCCAAATGAATCTGAATCGAATCATGAGCTAGTGAATCAGAATCCAGCCCTAATCTTAAAATAGTGCCTTTCAAAATTGTAATACACAACACACTCTTCCTCATACATTTTCACAGGTCTGTCGGCGGCAGCCGGAATAGGTGTTGATGACCTGAGACGTTTGTGTATCCTGCGGCTGAGTTTTGTAAAAGGCTGGGGACCCGACTACCCTCGACAGACCATCAAACAGACACCGTGCTGGGTGGAAGTTCATCTACACCGTGCCCTGCAGCTGTTGGACGAGGTCCTGCACACCATGCCCCTCGCTGACCCCGGACCTGCCAACTGACCCACAGACTGCAAAATAGACAAGCCCTGTCACAAAAACAGGGAGGACGACAGACAGAGAGAAAGAGAGACACACACCTGCACAGGCAAACAGTGACTCATAGTACCACATACACACATAAGCCTTCACACACACTGTCTTTCCACAGCCTTGGCCAGCAAAGTGCCTCTGAACTGACCAGTGTTTAGTCCACTCTTGGGTGCTGTTGACCTGGTTGTCATGGTAACACAGACCAAAGGCCCTGCTGATGAGTTCACACTAATGGAGGTCCAGAAGCGGTGAAAGTAAGTTGGTTAAGAGGGAGAGAAAGATTCATATGATAACACGATTAATATGCTTAATCCTCAGAGACCCAGGAATGGATATTAATGATATTTTTAACCCTTTAACATGTCTGTAAAAAGCCAGTAGTTAGAAAGAATATTTTGTTAAGGCAAAATTTACATAAAGGTATAATTTAAAACAAAATGTTGCAAAAAAGAAACACTGGGCATTTTAGAGTTGTAAAATTTCACTATTTTTCAAATCACTAAATGAAAGTTTTGAATTGACAACACAATTTAGCACACAAATGTTTTTGAAAAACATATATCAACCAGTCAACTAGTAAGGTTAAGAAGTAATAAATATTCATATTAAAGTGTATGCAAAGTGCAGTTGTGTGTGTGTGTGTGTATGTATACATATATATATATAATTGGGTATTATTTAATTGCTTTATACTACAAACATTGTAGTTCTGCTGGGTCTCTGAGGGTTAAAGCTCTGACTCAATCTGATGTATCATAGTTCTTAAAGTGTCAGCTGATCTGAATGCTGAGTGCAGGCAGGATGTCCAGGAATAAATGCATTTATAAACGGCAGGACAGAAAATGTGCTGTATTCTACAAGGCAGTATATTTTATCTGAAAAATCTTGAAATGAGACCAAAGACTTAATGAAATGAGATCAAAGAATCTGCAGTTTTAATGATATTCGACTTATGAATACCATAATAGTTTATAATTCAGTGATACAGAGATAAAAGTTTTGTTAACAGTGGGATTTTTGTCTGCTAGGCTATACATGAGGGAGATATTAAACAGTGCTGAACTATGTGCCAAAACAGTCTGACACTTCATACATGCAGAAAAGCCTTTATAAACCATGACACTGATACAGAAGTATGGACACCTAGTGGTTCTTTCGAGTATTGCATTCACTCATATACAGCTTTGCATTTTGGGTTACCTGACTGACGTTTAAGCTTTATTACAAACTGTATTTAATTCAAGGATTCTGTGAGAGGATATTCTGAATATATTCATGACAAAAGGGAGTTAGGCAGGACACCTCCAAGAGATGGGTTTCCTAAATTATTTTTTGCCAAATTCCTTTTGCTATTGTAGGATGTGTGTTCCAGGACCCTTATCCAGCGCTGCTTCAGCCGTGACTATATACAGAATACAGCATGCACTCGAGTGCCTTATTGCTTCCATAAAACAATCACTACAAAATAAAAATACTAATATCCTAAATTCATTATGCAGCATTCGTCCGCTAGAAGATATATGACATCTGGCATAACATACTAACAACAATCACAGATAGCAACTTTCTTGGTACTTATATCACCCTTTTGGCCTCATGGGAGAGCAAAGGGTCCATAGGTTGGGAATTACCTAACTTTTTTGTCAGCCGAACCCCTTTGACCTTAAATATTTACTTGAAGTATACCCTCTGAGATTTTAAGTTCATATTTCAATTATTTAAGAACACGTTTGCATGTTCACAGTTTTCTGTTAACAGTTAATGGTCACATGGCATGCAAATAAACAAATAAAATATGTAACCCTTTTCAGTGAGTTATTTGGATTATTTTGATTTTAAAATTATTTAAATTGTACAATTTTAGGATTTTATGAATTTTTACCTCTTCATGAAGCCGATGCAGTTTTCTCATTCATGAACTCTATTATGGACAAACCTGCAACTGTATCATGAATAGGGCTATTCCATTTTTGGACATCCTGCTTATTTAACATAATGCTTTTTGCATAGGGAAGTATTCATCCACATAGGCTATGTGTTTTCTCATTTATAATGGCATGTAATCTTTAAAAAAATACAATGTAATTCTATTATATGCAAAGTAGATGTAGCTGTTACAAAAAAAAATGAGATGCGCGCTGTTGGTGGGCGGTACTTACGGTCAGACTCTCAATCTGACGCAGTGCATCCTTCAGCGCGCAGCATCCGACAACGGCCTGGACCGAGGACACCGCGTACCGTAGAGATGTAGCCATGAATCATCCACATTATATCAGCTAAACGAAGGACCGTTGACATTTATTGTTTATTCCACGGCTGTTATCCGGATCGCAGCGCGCCCAACCCGCAAAATGTCTGAGATCACTGAAATACGCGCGGCGTACGGTGAGTAACGTTAGATAGCGCAGGCCTGAGCCTTCCCGACACGCCTGAGATATGAATGTTACGCATTATGGATAATTTGACCTGGTTAAGATAGCACTCATTTATGATGTGAGATTTTGGACAGCGCTTGTTGAGCTTCTTAAATCAAGACTACAACCACCATCAGTATAGGCTGTTGTTCAGTCATGCAGTGATTCGTTAAATTGTGAGTGTTTGTGAACGTCGCCATGTTGCAAAAGTGTTTTAATGGAGAGATGGGAGCAGGAATGACGTGATGTCTATTCCGGACTGGACCCGAAGGCTCTTTGTTTGTTAATAACGCGCCGCTGAGATTACAGCCTCCACCCATGTGTCCTCAAAATCACCAGCCAAACTATAGGGGCTAGTTGTCACACGGGGAATATATTACAATAGCTCCATCTAAGTAACTATAAGGCTTGAGTCAAAAGCAGTTATGCAAATTTGTGAGGTTCTCTGAGCTCGTTTCAATCATTTAGCTTAAAACCCTCTTATAGGAACAGTTTAACCTCAAATGAAAATGTCATTCTTTTAAACACCCTTATGTCCCATTGCGTTTCATTTGTATTGAAAAAAAAGACATTTATTTGAAAAATCTTTTGCTGTTCTTTGACAGGTGCCATTTAGGGAAGTGGTTCTCAACCTCTTAGGCTCCAAGACCCCCCGTTTCTGCAGGAATATTTAGAGACACCATGTTTTTTCATGATTTACAGTATAAATATTAAGGACAAAGAGTTTTTAAAAGTATAGTATTTTGTTCTTTACCCACAATATTTACCCAAATATAATATTTTAGAGTTTGACACAATTCGAAAAATGTATATTCCTTTTTTTTTTAAAGAAATTCCTTATTTTAAAAGGATTTCATAAGACTTTTTGTTTATTCTCAGAATTATACCAAATTAATTTCCTCTCTACTACGCCTGAATTAAGACAAATTTTTGAGAACAATTTTAGTAGAGACGATGAATACAGAGTATGTTGTTCTCTGTTTTATATGTTTCACTTTAATTACTAAGCTGATATGAAAATCATTATCTTTAAGGAAATTTTTAGGGCTAATGTAAAGGAATTACTGTGTCGTGTCTGAGGGTGTGGGATAACGTGACGAAGAAGGAGTGTCCTCGGATCTGATGCCAGCACCAGCTGGCACCACAGTGCCCATCTCCATCTGGCATAAGCCTCCGAGAGACATTTACGCTCCAGACACAGCTTCTTTGCCCACTCTCACTGTGGCCTGTACATGTATTCAAAGAGCAGGCACCGTGTGCTTTGGATGATGTGCAGAGTCATAGGATCCTGTAGGACAATATTGAGTGTAGAAAACAATTTCTTCGCCAATTTTTTTTTTACAATGGTGGATCTTGTCTTGTTTGAGATACAACCAGCTAATCTGTGATTCATTTTTAATTAATTAAAATGCTTTGGGAAACAGCTCAAAATTAAAAATCAAAGACTTTTTTATTCAACATTTATATTTTGAGGTCAGCATGAAATGGAAATTCACCCTAGCTATTTTCTTAACACAACTTAATAATATTGTGAACAATTCGTCCATTCTTGTTTAATTTTTTTTTATCTCATAATAAAAAAAAAAAAGATTCAGTCATAACTGTATCTTCCTGTGAAACGACAGATTTCTCTCTGTTGATTTTTGCCCGACTTCTGCTATCATTTAGTCAGCTCTCTCGCAATAGACTGCAAGCATGATTCAGATTTGCCTCCATCCAATGAACAACCAAAGCACTGAACCAAGCCTCGCCCTACATTTTTATCTTTTCGATAATCCGTTTGACTTGAATGTACGTCACAATATGTAAAAAAAAAAAATAATAATAATAATATCTGCCGCCACTTCCATTACATCACAACTTTAAATGGGACAAGATGAAGGTTTTTCTAGATGTTTTTGCTGCATCATTCTGATATGGCGTATGCACACTGAGACCACAGTGCTGGAATAACTGGCAGTACTAATTTCTGTCAGCGTTGGTAAATTAATGTCTTGAATTGATTACACTGCAGTAGACAGTACTGTATATTGCCTTTTTCTGGTATGGGAAAGTCAGAGCAGCACACATCATTTAACTCATCGTCCTCAGCCACAGACAGTAACTTAGCAGATTCTTTTCTGACGGATCTTACAGTCCACTAATTGTCTTCCTCAAGGGCATAACATTGATAGGGCTCTTTTAGCAACCCTCACATGTTTCTCCTTCCTGCAATGTTTTAACTAGCAATGAGTTAATAATTTAGCTACCAACACCCTAGACATATGTATCTCTGGTTTTTGATATTTGATCACTCTACCGTGTCCACAGTCTAGACACACCTGTCAGGGCTCTAAAGGGATGTTATTTTGATTTATGTCCTGAGAAATACTGAGTATGCCAAGAATTCAGTCATTGAGATGTCATTGAGAGGTTAGAGGCTTTGGTACTGTCAGTACATTGATTAAAAACTCAAGCGAAACCGTGTACATGTGTGCGTGAGGTGGGTGTCTATCCTCTTTGTTTGCGTGTGCTTTTGGTTCATATTATGTGTCTATGCCCCATGGGATGTTTCCAGGTAATTGGAGCAGCTGTTTTTTCGGAGCCTGCCAAGTCTTGCATCATCTAGCAGCAAGTGGGGTGAGGGTCTTTGAGTGGGGTTGGGTGAGAGTGATGGAGCAAAGAACAACAGACTGGGTGGAGCGCTGGCAAATATCTTTTTCTGTCTGCCTCACGCTGTTCATTTTGGCTGTAGCTCCATCATGCTGTTCTTTCTGGGCTGTGATGAATAGAATGTTCTACTTATTTGATTTTTTGCTGCCTTCTCTTCTCTTCTTTTCTGAATCTTTGTCTTCATTCATCACAAAACTGCCACTTAGGCATCCAGTAAAAACTGCTGACCTCACATCTGATCTCATAAGTTAGATCACTTTGACCTTGTAAAATGGTATTGTGGCATGGATAGAGTGATCAGCATCAAGATTCATTGTTAAAGGTGTAATAGGTGATTGTCTTCAGAAAATTTTTTTGTTATGCTGGTTGAAAGTCTCTTCACATCCCGATAGCAATCATTACGTTAAGTGGTCTAAATGTATTCATCTGTATTTATATATTCTGTGGAAGGCGTAGGACCAAGAAATGTTCGTCCAATCAGCATTCAGGGGGCGTGGCTTTGGACGGCGATTGCAGGGAGGGTGGGACATTCGCTTTCAGTGCTATCAGGCTAAAGTTAGCATTTTCCAAGATCTCCTATTGCGCCTTTAAGCAAGTCATGTTTGAGCAGCTCATCTTACAATGGACATATATCACAAACACTCTCCCAGAGAGTGTTTCCGTTATCCAAGTCTTAATTTATGTCACTGTCCTGACAACACAAGGACAGAAAGCTTAAAGCTGCAGTCCATAACTTTTTTGGGTTAAAAATGATCCGAAATCAATATTTGAGCAAGTACGTAACCAGCCAGTGTTCAAAACTATCGGCTTACTTTAGCCCGATTCACAACGGTTAGCTTATAATTTTTTCTAATTTGAGTGGTACGGGTAGGTTTTCGCGGGAAATTCGAGCATGGCACTGCGTCATTACGTCACGTCTGTAAACATAAAGAAGTTGTCCCGGCTACTAGGCTATCTTGATGGCGGATTGTAATCCATAAAGGATTATTAAATTATATTCCAGTTATAAATGTGCTTCTGATTGCAGATAGCCTGGGATTACAAAGATTTGTATTTTTAAAGAAAACCAGTTCGAAGTGAGCATAATTTGCTTTTTGGGTTAAAAGAATTTCTTAATATGAAATTCGAACGGTATGACAATTAGAGGTTAGACTGTACAGAAATTGAAATCTACATGCTAATACACAATATAGGCAATGCTGATGTTGTTAACATTAATAATTTGAGAATAAAGTATAACAATAATAATCATTTGCACGGTTTGATGTGATATGAGCTAACCAATCTTTAGATTAAATCGCCATTGGTAGCTCGATTCATTGTAATGCTTTTTTTCCTCAGTTGGTCAGAACAAACGTGGCAGACTTGTTACTTACTTGTTCAGATGACAATATACGGTGAAAATTCTTATTTGGGTCATATATTCCAAGACTAGACTAGAATCTGTGATGCGAACTACAGTAAATATCCACATCGGTGCGGTGACTGACTGCCACACATACTCCTCAAAACATTAGATTCATCCGCGCTGACTCACAACCCACGCAAGGTAGATTGCAACCCACAGCTGCAATTGCAGGTTTTCAAACAGAGATGGCAACAAAGAGGCAAAACGTACGGACTGCAGCTTTAAGTAAATAAACTGTCTTTCAGCTTTTTATCATTGACTGTACATGCAATTATTTTTATTTATTTAATATCAAAAAGTTTCAGGTCGGTAGAAAGAAGTCTCTTATGTCCACCAAAACTGCATTTATATAATCAAAAATTTTATACAGTAAAAACAATAAAAATGTAAAAATGTGTGGGGGGGGGG